ATGTCGTGCCGCCCAGGTCTGCTGCAGTCAGAGACCCTGTCCCTGTGGCAGGCCACTACTGACCTGTGCCTCTGCAGGAAACACTCAAACAATCAAAGGCAGGTCTAGCTCAGTCTCCTGTGGGGTCCCTGGGTCCTGTGCACACAAGGCTTTGTTTGTACCCTTCAAGCATCACTGGCCTGTATAAGGTTTGATTCTAAATGAAATTTTGCCCCTCCTACCATCTTGTTTGGGCTTCTTCTTTGCCCTTGGATGTGGGATATCATATTTTGGTTGGATCTAACTTTTTTCTGTCCATGGTTGTTCAGCAGCTAATTTCAATTTTGGAGTTCTCCCAGGAAAAGGTGAGTGCACATCCTTCTTCTCTGCCATCTTTAATGTCCAATTATCTTGCCTTTCATCTAATTTCAGTGGCTCACTTCCATACATATCCCTCCAAAACCTCACTTTCTAGCATTTCACTCTTCAACCACTGCCTCGGGTAACTTTAATAACCCCACTCCAACAATGTTTCCACCCCTCCAAAACCTACCATTGATTTACAATCTTTGAACTGTCACTCATCAATCCCTTTTCCATGGCTTTACTAATATTCTTACCCATTATAAATTCTTACCTATTTTAGATTCTTACAAGCTCATGGTGAATCAGCACAAATGTTTCCCTGCATAAATCCTCAATTCCATTTCCCCACTCTCCTTTTGACATCTCTTCCAGCAAAAACCCTAATTTTAGTTAAATCTGATTATCCTATTACTCCATAGTGGTTGGTGGCACTTTTGCAACTGAACATGACTAAGGAAAGACATGTGGCCATGATGATTGGCTTCAATTCATATTTATGATGACAAACTGCAAGTGTACTGTTAATGGTACCTGGCAATAATATTAAACTTCTATCATCTATTCATAGCTCTCATATTCTTGATGAGTGTTCCCCACTTTTTCCTCTCTTCTCAAATCTATAATAGCTACACTCTACCCTACTCTCAGCTAGTGGAAAATTTCACCATCATCACTACTGAATATACTAATCTACAGGCATCTTACAACCCTATTTTCTGCCTTCTCTTCTATTATAGCAAATGCCCTTTTCTTGCTCATGCCTGAGTATAATTTGAAGTGTGACAATTTCTTAGGGCGGTCAAAACAAATTACCACAAATCAAGTGGCTTAATTGTCTCACACTTTTGGAAGCTTTAAGTCCAAAGTTAAGGTGTCAGCAGATTTGGCTCCTTGAGGCTCTGAGGGAGGCCCATGCCTCTACCCTAGGTTACAGCAATTGCTGGCAATCATTGGTGTTCTTTGGTTTATAGATGCATCACTTCAATCTCTGCCTCCAACATCATAGAATTCACTCTCCCTGTGTGTGTGCCAAATTTCCCCTTTTCATAATGACACCAGTCATTTTAGTAGGCCCCACTCTAATCCAGAATTATCTCATCTCAAATTGACTACACCTGTAAAAGACACTATTTTCAAATAAGGTCAAATTCACAGGTACCAACTGGTAAGACTTGTGTGTATCTTTATAAGGAGCATAAATCAACTCACGACACTGGGTGCTGGATTTTCTCCACTAAAAGTATAGCTCCTATAGTTAACTCTTCTTCTGTATCCTCATTGTCTTTCCTTTTATTACAGAATTCTGCTGATACAATTAACATGAAACATTGTTTAAGCTTAAGGTGTACAATGTAATGGTTTGTTATGCATGTATATTGTAACATAGGATTAGTTAACACTTCCATCACATCACAAAATTACTATTTCTTTTTGTGGTGAGAACATTTATGGTCTACTCTCATACCAAATTTCAAGTATATAATATAGTATTGTTAACTATAGTCAACACACTGTATAATAAATACCCAGAAATTACCCATATTTTAACTGAACGTCTATACACTTTGAATGGCATCTCTGCATTTCCCCCCACCTCTCAGTTTGTTCTTTAAGTTTGGCTTCTTTAGAATCCATTTATAAGTGAGATTGTACTGTATATGTCTTTCACTGACTTACTTCACTTATCATAATGCCCTCAAAGTCCTTCCATGTTGTCATAAATGCCATAACTTCCTTCTTTATCATGGCTAATTAGATAAATGATTGATAGACAAGTCTCACATCTCTTCAAGTGTGATTTCATTTTCTTTAGATATATGTCGAGTAGTAGAGTTGCTATAAAATATGGTAGTTTTGTTTTTAATTTTTGAAGAAACTCCCTCTTGTTGCCCACAGTGGCTGTACCAATTGACATCTGTACCAAGAGTGCCCAAATCTCCTTTCACCCACAGTCTCACCAATACTTGTCTCTACTCTTTTTGATAAGAGCCATTCTAACAGATATGAGATGATATCACACCCTAGTTTTGATATTAGTTACCCTAATTATTATGTTGGGTATCTTTTCATATACCTGTTGACCATTGTTATAAATACTTTGACAAGGTGTCTCTAGTTTCTTTGCTCATTTAAAAAAAGTAGGGTTATTTGGATTATTTCTGCTGATGAGCTGTATAAGTGTCTCATATATTTTAAATATTAACCCTTTATCAGATAGACAATTTGAATACATGTTGTCTCATTCCCTAGTTTTTTTTTTTTTTTAGTATTGTTTCTTTTGCTGTAAAAAAGCTTTTCAGCTTATTCATTTCTCTTTTTGTTAGCCTGTACTTTCTTGGTGACATGTTAAAAAAGAAATCAGGGACAAGAGAATATCAAAAATCTTTTTTCCTGTTTTCTTCTAGGAGCTGAAGTTTTTTAGCTTCTATGTTGAAGTCATTAATCCATTTCAAACTTATTTTTTGAGTTGTGTAAGATAGGAGTCCACTTTTATTCTTTTCCATGTGGATATCCAGTTTTCAAAGAAACATTTATTGAAGAGCTATCTTTTCCCCATTTTGTTATCTTGGTACTTCTGGGTTCTCTATTCTGTTATAATAGTATATATATATTATATCTATATAATATATATATATATATTTATGCAAGTACATTCTAGTTTTTAAGAGTAGTTTACAGTAAGGAACCGTGAGTCTTCAGCATTGTTCTTTCTCAAGAATGCTTTGGTATTCATAGTCTTTTGCGGTTTTGTACAAATTTTAGATTTGTGTTTTCAATTTTTGTGAAAAACATCATTGACATTTTCATAAAGGTTGCATTTAAACTATAGATGGCTTGTAGTTGGTAGTCTGGATATTTTAACAATATTATTCTTCTGATTCATGAACTTGAAATGTCTTTCCATCTATTTGTATCTTCTATATTTTCTTCCATCAAAATCTTATAGCTTTTAGTGTGTAGCTATTTAACTTATTTGGCTAAATATATTTATAAGGATTTTGTTACTTTTAACTCTTGTAAATCGGATAGTTTTCTTTATTTTTCAGGTATTTTGGTTTTAGTGTATTAAAGCACAACTGATTTCTATGTTTTGTATACTGCAACTTTACTGAATTTGCTGATTAGTTCTAATAGTTTTTGGTAGAATCTTCAGGACTTTCTATATTCAAGATCACATATCTGCAAACAGAAAGAATTTGACTTATTCCTAATTTAGATGTCATGTGTTTATTTTCTTGCCTAATTGCTCTGGCTAAGGTTTCCGCTACTATGTTGACTAACAGTGGCAAGAGTGGTCACACTTGTTCCTGATCACAGAGGAAAAGTTTTCAACATTTAAACATTCAGTGTAATGTAAAATGAGAGTTTGTCATTGATGACCTTTATTACATTGAGGTACATTTCTTCTATAGCCAATTTGTTGAGAGCATTGTTTCTATACGGAAGAATGTTATATTATGTCAATGCTTTTTCTGTGCCTATTGAGATAATTATGTGATTCTCAGTTTTCATTCTATTAATATAGTGTCACATTTACAGATTTGTAATCATACTGTATAATATTTGTAATATCATAGTGATTGGAAAAGATGTCAATTATGATTTCAATCTTCTTAAATTTTCTAAAATTTATTCTTTGACATATGATCTTTTGTGGAGACTGTTCTGTGTGCTCTTGAGAGGAATATGTATCCTGCTGTTATTGGATGGACTATTATGTATATGTTTGTTAGGCCCATTTGGTATAAAATATATTTCAAATTTAATTGTTCTTTATTGATTTTATGTCTGGAGGATCTATCTATTGTTGCAAGTGGGTATTGAAGTCCCTCAATATTATTGTATTGGTGTATATTTTTACCTTAAGACTTGTTAGTATCTGCTTAATATATTTAGGTATTTTAATCTTTGCTGAATGTATATTTATCATTGTTATATCCTCTTATGAATTGATCCCTTTATCATCATAAAAGGACCTTCTTTTTCTCTGATTATGGTTTCTGGAATAATGTCTATTTTTTATGATGAAAGCTCTCTTTTGATTTCCAATTGTATGGAATATATTTTTCCATTACTTCATTTTGAATCTATATGTGATCTTAAAACTGAAGTGACTCTTGTGTGCATATCATATAGTTATGTCTTGTTTTTACATTCATTCAGCCACTCTATGTATTTTATTTGGAGAATTTAATCCATTTACTTTTAGAGTAATTATTGATAAATAAGAACTTACTGATGTCATATTATTCTTTCTGACAGTTTTATAGTTCCGTTGTTTCTTTCTTCCTTCATCTCTTGCTGCCTTCCTTTGTGAATTGATTAATATCATAGTAAGTTGTTTTTATTTCCCTTTTCCTTTATCTTTTGTGTATCTACTATAAGTTTTTGCCTTGCAGTTACCATCAGTTTAAAAAAGTCTTATTAATGCAATACTTTATTGCAATACTTTATTGCAATACTTTATTTTTCACTGATAAATACTTAGCTTCAATTAAGTTAACATATAATCATATTACAGCATTAAAGTATCCTGAATTTGACTATATACTCCTTTTCCAAGTGTGTTGAATATATTCATATCTTTTCATGTTACTAGTTATTATCCTTTAATTTCACCTTGAAGAACTTTCATTTCCTGTAAGAAACATCTAATGGTGATGAACTCTTTAAGGTTTTTTGGTCTGAGATTTTTTTTTTCCCATTTATTTATGAAGGAAAATTTTTGTTAGATAGAATGATCTTTGTTGGAAGGGTGTTTTTTTTTTCCAACTGAAAGTTAATTGCTTTACAATATTGTGGCATGGTTTTTGCCATATAATGACGTGAAACAGCCACAGGTGTATATGTGTCCCTCCATCTTGAACTTCTTTCTGCATCCCATCCCTCTGGGTTGTCCCAGTGCATCTGCTTTGAGCGCCCTGCTTCATGCATCAAACTTTCACTGGTTATCTATTTTATATATGGTAATATGCATGTTTGAACACTATTCTCTCAAATCATTCCACCCCTTCCTTCTCTGACATGGTCCAAGTCTCTTCTTTATGTCTGTGTCTCTTTTTCTGTCTTGCATACAGGGTTGTCCTTATTGTCTTTCTAAATTCCATATATGTGCATTAATATACTGTATTGATGTTTCTCTTTCTGACTTACTCTGTATAATAGGCTCCAAGTTCATCCACCTCATTAGAACTAACTCAAGTGTCCTGTTTTTTATAGCTGAATAATATTCCTTTTGTTCTTTCAGACCTTTGAATATATCATCTCACTCTCTCCTGAATTGTAAGATTTCTGACTTCAATAATTCACAGATTGTTTCTTTTGATGGTATCCCATAGATCACATAGGATTTCTTCAGTCTTTTTCATTTGTTTTCTTTGTTCTATTCTGACTCAATTATTTCAAAAGTCCTGTTTTTCCATTCTTAGGATTTTTCTTCTGTTTGATCTATTCTACTTTGTGTTCTGCTGAGTATTGCATTTTTATTTAATTCACCATATTCTTCTGCTTGAGAGGTTTTTTTTTTGTGTGTGTGATTTCCACCTCTTTGTTAAACTGCTAAGTTTGTTAGTGTATTGTTTCCCTAATTTCAGTGAATTGTCTTTCTGTGCTTTCTTGTAGCTTATCAAACTTTCTTAAAACAGCTGTTTTGAATTCTTTATTAGATAAATCATAAGTCTCTATGTCTTTGTGATTGGTTGCTAGAAGATAATTATGATACTTTTGTGGTATCATGTTTCTTTGATTTTTCACGTTTTTTGAAGTCTTGCATTACTGGCTTCACATTTGAAGAAGCAGTGACTTCCTCCATTCTTTGAGAGAGAAATACCTTCCATCAGACCTGCTTGGAATTCTGGGGTTTTCTCAGACCCTCTATGGATATTTCTGCTCCATGCTTCTTGATCCCTTTTGCAGCAGAATTCTTAAGCTTGTAACCATCTTTTGGTCTTACAATGTACCAGGCCGACTGATGACAGTCTCCATTTTACTTTTCTAGTGGCAGAACCAAAACTCATGTTTGTGGTCTCTCCTTGGCCCACAGATTCATGCCAGCTTTCTGTGCATGCTCACTGTCTTTCAAAGCTCACTCTCACCATCATTAAAAATATGTACAAGGAACCAGCCACAGGGTGAGAATATGTATGGATAAAACACATGATATTCCAGGGGTATCTGTGGGCCAGCTGGGGGTATCCCTAAGCAAGTCATCTCCAGCAGCTTGTGGGTAGACTTCATGATGTAGTTTGAAACACTATAGGATTTATTTCCCTTTAATGCCCTCGGATGGTCGTATCTGCTGCTCTCTCAGCTTCTTGCTTCCACCCATGATGCTTATGACTCAGTACTTTAGAGGTGGTGACAGAGAAATGATCTTTTTTGACAGCATCAGACACTGAAGAGGAAGCTGGATGCTCACTCACACAACCTTACTGCCTCTCACGGGAGAAATCACAGGCCAAGGAGATTTCTTTTAGCAGTATACTGTGCTACCTTAAGGGAGGGATGATGTCTATAAAATCAAGTATTCTCTGATCCTCTCCAAGCACCCAAATTTATATTTTTTGCTCTCATTATAACCTATAATCATTCTCCTGGAAATTTGGACTTCCACAAAGGCTGTCTTATCTGTGGGAGATTGTCTAAAACAATGTTCTCCAGGGAATCCTGGACCATAGTTGAAGGGGGTTGAGGCTAGTTCTTGGACCACAGCTGGAAACAAGGCCTATCATCAGCCTGCTTTCTTCTTCTCTAACCCCGTTGTTTCCCTCTTTATAAGAACTCTAGTGACTATATCTAGTGTCTTCCTGGGTAATCTAGAATAATTTCCTGTTCACAAGGTTTTAATTTAGTCACATGTGCAAAGTCCTTTTTTTCCACCTAAAACAACATTCACAGGTTTCAGGGATTTGGATATGAATACTTTGAGGAGTCGTTTATCAACTTTTCACAGTGCTCAATATTAATTAGCTGAATGAACAGATTAGTGAAAATCACATAATGCTTTCTTGTTCAAATTTGAAGGATGGACTCATTCAGTTACTAGGGAATACAACTGCAAGAATAGGAATGAGTGAAAACAAGTGGAGCAAAAACAATAGGACAAGAAAGAAGTAATTTTATAAAAGGTAAATTTGAAGTAAGGTACATATAAACTGAAAAAGAATAAAGAATTTTGAGGGAAAAATTTCACTTCAGAAAAACCTGAGTAAAAAATTGTATAATCATATGAAATGATATAGTATCTTTGAAAGTATATTTTAAGCAGCAACTGTTTTAAACAGAAAGCATAATAAGCATATTAATTATTACTGTTATTACTATTGTCATGACTATACTATTTCTCTCAAGATATTGAAAGAACAAATGTGTCTTTCCTTCAATTCATTTTTTTTTACATCTCCATTACTGAAAAAAGGAAGAGTATTAGAGTTAATAATAATTGGATAACAGAAGCCAAATCTGTCATTCTATTCCATTATGGTTATAGATTTTTGTGTCATGTTTAAGAAACGTTTATTCCACTATCACTAAGATAATCTCCTTTGTTACCTCCTGGAAACTTTACTCTTTTACCTTTCACCTTTGGGTCTGCTTTACATCTAGGATTGATTTTAGTGTGTAATGTGAGATCAGGTCAAGAAACACTTTTTTTTTCCCCCTTGAAGATATCCAATTGATTAGTACTGTTTATTGAAAATCTAATTTTTCCTCAATGCATAACAACTTTGGGACAATTCATATGACCATATCTATATAGCTCTCATTTTTTAACTCCTTAATCTGTATTGTAGGTTATTTGTCTTCAGGCTAATACTTGTTGTTGTTGTTCAGTTGTTCAGTCATGTACGACTCTGTGATCCCATGGACTGCAGCATGCCAAGTTTCCCTGTCCTTCACCATCTCCCGGAGCTTGCTCAAACTCACGTCCGTTGAGTCACTAATGCCATCCAACCATCTCATCCTCTATCATCCCCTTCTTCTTCTGACTTCTATCTTTCCCAGAATCAGGGTCTTTTCCAATGAGTTGACTCTTTGCATCAAGTGCCCAAAGTATTGGAGATTCAGCTTCGGCATCAGTCCTTCCATCCCTGATAGCTCAGTTGTTAAAGAATTCACCTGAAATTCAAGAAACCCTGGTTCAATTCTTGGGTTGGGAAGATCCGCTGGAGAAGTAATAGGCTACCTATTCCAGTATTTTGGGGCTTCCTTTGTGGCTCATCTGGCAAAGGGACCTCCTGCAATGAGGGAGACCTGGGTTCAATCTCTGGGTTGGGAAGATCCCCTGGAGAAGGAAAAGGCAACCCACTCCAGTATTCTGACCTGGAGAATTCCATAGGCTGTATAGTCCATTGGGTCACAAAGAGTTGGACATGAATATTCAGGGTTGATTTCCTTTAGGATTGACTGGTTTGATCTCCTTGCAGCCCAGGGACTCTCAACAGTCTTCTCCAACACCACAGTTCAAAAGCGTCAGTTCTTTGGCACTCAGCTCTCTTTATGCTCAACTCTCACATTCATCCATGACCACTGGAAAAAACATAGCTTTGACTATATGGACCTTTGTCTGCAAAGTAATGTCTCTTCTTTTTAATATGCTGTCTAAGTTTGTCATGATTTTTCTTCCAAGAACAAGTGTCTTTTAATTTCATGACTACAGTCACTGTTCACAGTGATTCTGGAGCCCAAGAAGATAAAATCTCTCACTGTTTTCATTATTTCCCCCATCTATTTGCCATGAAGGGATAAGACCAGATGCCATGATCTTCGGTTTTTGAATGTTGACTTTTAAGCCAGCATTTTAACTCTCCTCTTTCACCTTCATCAAGATGCTCTTTAATTCCTCTTCACTTTCTGTCATAAGGGTGGTGCCATCTGCGTACATGAGGTTATTGATATTTCTCCTGGCAATCTTGATTCCAGCTTGTGCTTCATCCAGCCAGGCATTTCACATGATATACTCTGCATGTAATTCAAATAAGCAGGGTGACAATACACAGCCTCATTGTACTCCTTTCCTAAATTTTAGTCAGTGCATTGTTCCATATCAGGTTCTATTTGTTGCTTCTTGACCTGTATACATCATCTTAATTGCTCTCACTTTTTAATAAATGATATTTGGTAACATATATCAATATATAATACTGATATTTGGTAATAAGTATCCTTCACATTGATTGTTTATCTTTCAAATTGTCTTGTATATTCTTGGCTCTTATTTTCATATAAAATTTAAAATTATCTAGTCAGTTATCACAAAAAGTCAGAGAAAATTTTATTGGGATTACATTGAATCAGTGTATCAATTTGGGAAGAATTGTTACATTTATAAGCATTGAACCTTCTGAATATAGTATATAGCTCTATTTACTTATGTTTAATTTATCTTAACATTGATTTGTACCCTTCAGTGTAGAAGCATTGCACATATATTTTTAAATTTATTTTGAGTATTTTGTACTTATACTATATGTCATTAACATAAGTACAAAATGCTTAAAACCACATGCAGGTATGACCTAAATCAAATCCCTTATGATTATACACTGGAAGTGACAAATAGATTCAAGGAATTAGATCTGATAGACACAGTGCCTGAAGAATTATGGATAGAGGTTCATGACATTGTACAGGAGGCAGTGATCAAGATCATCCTCAAGAAAAATAAATGTAGAA